CTTTAATCCAGATAGGAAGAAATTAACAGCGATCCTGATTTGCAGAGATTATTTAACATTTCATCATTTTTCAATTAACGGAATAAAAATGATTTTCGCAGGTGCGCCTGCGTTACGGTGGGTTTTTAATGTGTGAATTTTAAATTTAAAAAGTGCCTTTATCTTTGTCGATATTAAGTCGAAATTTCGTTCAGGAACTGAACGAATATTGTGGGATCAATGTTCCTTTCAATCGCGTGAGCATTTTTCTGCTTCCAGGTAATAAATAGTACATAATTGTGAATTGCCAGCAGTATTCAACAGCACATCATTTTCTAATTTGTACTGAAAATTGTTTTAACAGAAATTTATCAGATCATCGGAAATCTTGACATTGAAACCCTAACGGAATGAAATTAACATACTAGGAAATGGAAGAGTCTTTTACACGGAGATATGCTGTATGCAGCCGGCATATCTTCACATACATGGGGTATTCAAGACAAATGATGACATAAATTGATTTAATCTCTTAAATGTCTTACAAGTATAAAATTCAAAGTACATTTTTACAGCAATTTAAATAATGAAAAATGGAGTTCCAGAGTGGAGTCAAGCCGTGTCATGTCCCTGCTTCAATAAGGCGACACTGAGTGTAATTCTCCTTGCACGAGATTTGACTTTTCACTCAACGGATGAAACAAATCAAATCGTTAGTTCTCATTATCTTCATGCTTTTTCAAAATATTAAATATAAATAAAGAGAAGTTCCAATTGATCAGTCTTAACGGGTCAGTTTATTTAAGATTGCTTGCAGATCTAGATCTTAATAAATATATGATAAGAAAAGGGTTTTTTTAATTTTTAGACTGATCTCAGAACTTGTCGTGAGAGCTGATTTTTTTTTTCCCAGTCTTTAGTCTGTTTAAACTCCGAGAACCTTCCAGGATTGCTGATGTGGAAAGAGTCCAGAAATGGCAACCAGCTTAAGCAGATATCAAAAAGAGATACTACGGGTCAACGAAACAACTTAGAAAAACTGTTATGAGATCTTCGATAAGCTACAGTTCTTCAACTTCTTAAGTTGCGTGATATATATAGCGAGAGACCATCCTATAAAACACAAGGCATTATGCTTTTACACCTTGTATGTACCACGGAGAAACAGACGGGCTGATTAATAGAAAGACCGGTGGTAGGAGAAACTGATTCGAGCTCAAAATAATTGAACCTTTTTGCTTCAGTAGAGGGTGTCATTAAAGCCAGCAGACCTCAAGATTCACATAGTCACGCATGCTCAGAAGTATCCCCTGACAAAAATATTCGTGATGAAATGCAAGCTTTCTTTTAGTAAAGTTTGTTTGGCAATTTCTAATCTCGATATTATAAGACAGAAAGGAGTCTTTAAATCCAACCTCCACAACGCTTCTCAATAGAATCAGTTCGTGATTTACCGCGTAATACGTGAGACATTAAACCCGGAGAGCTAGGAAATGGCACCCTATAAACACGCTTAAAAAACGCAAACCGTTCAGGAAGAATTCATGAATGGACACGAAGCTTCGACTTGTTTTGATTGAGAGCTGGGGTTTGCTAGCTTCGTTTCCTGTTTTGGAGGAGCTGAACAAAGCGTGCCAAACGTTTGCGTTGTACTGCTGCCAACGAACTTCAGAGGCTTTTCTGAGACTGGCGATGGGACAAAACTCGAGCATCAGATGGGTTAAAAGCCCAGCAGGAGGTTTTATTACTTAACGGTCTTTAATACCTCTAACTTAGTAAGTTTTGAATTTGTTCGCTTTCTGAAAAAAGACATGAAATTTGCCGGCTCGTGTGTGTTGCGATACCCAGGAGAGTGAGAGATCCCACGCAGAATAACAGAGAGTTCCATAAATTACAATGTCATTAAAGACAAGACATGCCGTGACTCATTGTCGCTCGGCGAGCACAAATACAACACTATTACTTTTACAGATGTGCCGTTCATTACCCAAGAAAATCGTATTTTAAGCAGTTAAAATATCAGAAAATAAGCGCGTTTATCTCACTAGGGCATACTACGAAATGGGAAAATTCTATGCACGCTGATACATCGCTGCCTAAAAACATTCGTTAAAAATATCAAAAAGAGAATTTTTCCAAGCGGTGACTCCCTATGTATTCAAGGATATTAAATATCCTTTTTTAATTCTTCATGGATATCACTGACCTGGTCCACTGAATTAAAATGCTTGTGAAATAAATACGCTTTTTATTTTCAAACACAAAGGACAAATAAACTAGAAACCGCATTCACGACTTAAGGGGGCAATAAACTATGATAATTTTTCTCCCGCAAAGAATGGTACATTTGAACTTCCCTCCGTCGATAAACTGACAAATTTTTCAAGAGAAAATGTTTTGACCGCCATTTGAATTTTCGTCATGGAGACAAGCGCTGCAAATATCAAGTACTGTATCAGATACCAACATTAAAGTGAACCAAGCCATTTTGCACATGCTTTTTAATTGAGAAGAAGGTTAGAGAATTGCCAAATAATTTGCTCTCAGTTGGAGAGTAAACGTCACAAACTTCTCAAACATAGAAAGGGGAACTAGTTTCTTATTATTATTCTCACTGCGCGAATCACAGCTACACCTAAGCTCGTACTTATCTCCTCCCCAAAGCACGTCAGATACCATCAGTTTTCTTTTAACTTATCAACGGAAAACTGAAGGGCTTTATCGGCGAGATCAAGATTTTAAAATATCATAACTTCGTTTCTACTCCGTCTTCCGGGATTGTGGCCATTCCTTGGGGTTAAAGCATAGAAGATTTCTTTTCAAGTTTATGTCAGTTTGGCAGCGAGTTGAGAACCGCGTTCAGGTCCCAAAAGCGTGCCCGTTTTTCTTCGATTTAAGATCAACAGCGTTTTAACCTAGTCGTGGATAGACCATGAATTCTTGGTAGTGCTAATTGCGACCTTATATAATGAGACGAGCATCGCTTCGGAATGGAGAAATCAGATGTACCATGGAGTAATTACTACGGTGCCCTGTAAAGTATCTTCTACCTCGTGCAAATAGAGACCACGAACCACGTGTATAAAATCTTTTGATTTATTTTTAAACACTTTTTCATTATAGGTGCCTTATAAGCTTTAGCCGCCAAACAAAGCAAGCGAAAAAGTTGATGAAACAAGCTATTCATCACTGAGCTGGGCATGATTCCGGTAGATCTGCATTTGAGCCGACCAAGATGGAAACCACACTTTAACACGAAGCCCTCGCCGTTCAAAATGAACCACACTTCCTCTCCCGGCACTTTGGCTCCATTCATGTCCAGTTGACAAGAAATTCCTCTCAACAACATCACTGACTGCTCCAAAAGTGGCGCCATTATAAACCACTTGATTGAGCTCGTAGCCGTAGACTCTGAGCGCCGGGTGATTAAACCGTCGAATTGAAACGACGAGGTTGATTAAGAAATAATTACGAGGTTATTGTTCCGCAACACAGCGACCATGTGCTTAGGCCTAAATCTAATGAGTTTATAACAGATCTACAAGCTTATTCAAGGCCCACCTATATGTGGTTTGTTTTTGTTGACTGGAGTTTAAATAAAATGTCCAAAAAAACCATGTGGCGTGGGTGGTTTGCACTAGGGTTTATCTCATGATAGGCAATTGTAGTTAGGCTATATAGCCAAAAAGAAAAGGTTAAAAAATTCCTTTCTTGGGAAATCGTGTATTGGTGTTAGGAGAGAAATAGACCAAAATTCAATTCAAAACATGTACCTTTCATGGTTTAGGGGTGAATAAATATTTTGGTCCAGTTGTAAAGATGTCTATGGTTTAAAGAAACTAGGAACTATGGTCACAAACCATTGAGTTCCCAAAAAGGAAGGAAAGGAGCGAATTTTGCGGCGTAAAAAATCGGAACAAAGTCTGAAGATAGTTTGAATTAAACCCTAATATAACCCTACAGAGTCAGACCAAATATTAAATATCAGTTGTTCAATGGCAAAGGCGGTGCTATACAAACAGAAAACAAAGCCTGCTTCATTGAAGCAAGCTGGATTGTTCCTTCATAACGTGAGAAGATTTATCTAGAAAGGAAGAAAGGGCATTAGAAAAGAACTGTTATCAGACTAAACAACAGGAAGTCATGATTTAGTCTCACTGGGTGTAGTGAAAAACTTTTCTCTAAATGTCTCACGCCTCGATTGAAACCTGATAAAGAGAAACTACCTTCTCCCATAGAAATCAACTTTCTATTTACAAAGTTATAACCTTGTAAAGTTAAACAAAAAAAGATTTATGACAATCAAAACAAAGCCTCACGTAACATTCAGCTCCATGTGAATTTATTTCTATCGTTGACTTCCGATGACTAACACGCAAAATATTTCACTTTGCTGGACATGAAACATATCTTGTTCGGCTAATTATCGACTCATAGTTACTGTCGATCGTTCTTACATGAACGCTGCCGAGCTAGATTCAAGAAAAACAACGTCACTTAAAAAGAAATCCACAAAAAACGAGAAGGCAACAATAACACTAGCTAAGCAAAGCTGATGTACTTAAACACTCGTTTATAATAGATATACAATGGCAAGATCATTATAACGTCATAGTTGTAGTCTCTAACAATTATACGCGAGAAAATTTACAATTACTTGATGTAACTGAGTTAAAAGGAGATTTCAATGACCCTAACACATTAGTAAGCTCACACGCTAAAACATGAAAATGTTTCTACTTTTCCGCCAACGTCGAGTCAAACAAACACATGTCCCACAAACATCACTCATAGTCCGTGTGAAGATTTCTCCTCAATATCTCTGTTTCTAAAAGCACCATCGTTATTATTCCACAAAAGCTAGTGATATTATAAATACAAGGCGTGGGACAAGATTTAACCTGTGCAACATGAAGTTTCGTTTTCGATTGCGCGAGTTTACAGCAATCAACGTGTTGAGTTCATGGAAGACGGCGCTCATTTCAGTTCAATGGACGGTGTGTGGAGAAGAATTTTCTTTGTTACTGATGCTGAAACCAAGCTCCCTCCATCCTCCACACACTGAAAGCATAGCTAAGCCGTTCATGTGCGATGAAGCAGCTGCTCGCTGCAGAGCTTGGGTGCTTCTCGTTGTTGCCCAGAACTTGACACAAGAAGTCGATGTATCTCGCGGCCAAGCGCAGTGTCTGTATTTTGCTAAGCTTATCTGAAGGCAAGGTCGGTATGATTTTTCGTAGCTTATTAAAAGCCTCGTTCAATGCTTGTGTTCTCTGTCGTTCCCGCACATTCGCCACAGTCCTCTGGTCGCCTTTGCCGTGTCCGTGCTCGTGCTCGTGCGAGCCATCTTTGCGTTTTGATTTAGAATTGCCTGATGTTCTGTACTTTCTTCTGGAATGACTCATGGTAAGCGACTTCTCGTAATGTGGCAGCCCCATGTTCCGATATCCCAACAACAGTTAACTAAAACTGTTCGTTTTACTGAAGGATTAAATCGAGAAGATATAGACGGCCTTGTCTGTGGGATCGACCCAAGTTCAAGCTCAACCCACCGTCAGTCAACTTTGCAAACTAACGCAACGCTACAATCCCGAGACAGTTATGTACTCGCGGGTTAAAATAAACACACCTATCACCTTACGCTTAGCAAGCCGTCAGGTCGTCTAATTATGTTCACTCACCCAATGAACCCTGCCAATGAGATTACAGCGCAAAGTGTCAATGGATACTTCAAATTTAATTAATAGTTGGCCTTATCTTCAGTAATTGGCAATAAATGTGATATTTACAAACAGTTTCGGTCCGACAAGGTGAAAAACACCGGACTTAAAACGGGCCGGCACTGGGTGATGAAAATGGCACAAAGAGAAAACGGAACTGACTGTGTTAAAACACACATTTCTATGCTTAAATTTTCCTAACTTTGCTCTTTATCGGTAGAAGATCGAACATTGCTGTGAATAGTTTTCTCCTGTAAAATAGAAATCTATACTTATACCGACGTGAAATCGTCCTTAGTTCGTTCTGAGTTCGTTTTAATTAACCCCTGCGTGCGCGCTTCTTTGCCGGATATAGACTCTTTGTCAACAGCGGGAGTCAGCGCTTGAAGTTTGCCGAAAATTCCTAGCCTCCTTGCAATTGATAGATGAGTTTGTATCGGTTACGGTGCTCTTTGAAAGGTTAAGAACGAATGCCCTCAGCAAAAGTCTCCATCTGGAACGAGAAGACATCAAGGTAATTGAACAAAATCGAAAATGGGAGATTTACCGTGTTTAACTTGGAGAGCTGAATTTCCCAGGTAGCGTTGAGTGGTTGTGATGACAGAAGCGACCTGTTTGTGGCTGATATGCGGGAATTTTTTCCGCTCGCCGGTGTCCAGCGGTCAGGAGTTAAATTACACTTCGTCCGAACAAGCAATTCATGCTCTCGGTAGAAACTGTTAAGAAAAGTTAACACACTCAAGGGCATGCTTATATAACTTCATATCTGACGAAGGGATGTAATACGGGATTTATTGCCTGCTCTTGAGCGCCATTTCTCAACACTAGATTACATTTGGAAAATGCTTTAACGTCTAAAATACACAAGCTTTGTTTAATCTATATGAATGGAATTCAAGGTAGATGCTATCTTTGAGCTTAGAAAGTGCACTCGATTAAAAACCGGCACATTGTGTGAAAGTGAGATATGCCTTTTACATTATTCGTAGACTTGATGTCGTGGAAGTCACCAGATAAGCGTACCTCGCCTTGCTGGAGCACACAGGGGTGATAAATAAAACCTAGCAAGTAACGTTTTTACTCAGGGTTGCCTCATTTTTTTCTCGCATGTATCAACCAGCTGCTTTAACAATTAGGAGGGAATGCGTTATAACACAAACAAACCACTGCATCATCGCGGACAGATCATTACCAACCTAAATGACCTCAGCTTTCAAGTTCAAAAATGACAGTTGACATGCTGAACAAATGAAGCAAAAACAAAAGTTTCATGTATTCTCATATCAGATAAATCGCTTAAGAAATATAACAGAAGTTTGAAGTAATTAACCCTTGTCTTTTAAGTAGCCGGCGACAAATACAAGACCAAAAACAACACACATTTAAAAAAAAACCCTCTTCTTTGGTGGTTTATTCGGCGTGGAATGTTTTACAACAACATTTGTACAGGGTTTTTCTGAACACTGACCCATCCTTCTTAACCCATGGAGAGAGCGGGGATAATATATTATCTTTAAGTTTCATTTAATAATAAGAACTAAATCTTAGAGGGTCGAAGTTTCCTATTTTGCAACTGAATAACGGATAATTCTTGCTATTTTTACTCATTTAAGACAAAAATTAAGTGGTAAAGCTATTTATCGAAAATCTATTCTACCAGGCGACACATCACTGTCAACGATACGAACAAATCGATGGCAATGTTTATTATTTTTGGCGTGACCTTGAAACCACAAAACAGACTCTGCTCTCTTTGTGTATGGTCTGAAGGGTCTAAGGAGAAAGAGGGGAGTTTGATATTTTGTAGGGTGAAAGAGCCAGGACCACCCTACACTTTGGGCTTGCGATTGCCAACATAAGAATGTTTTTGGCAGTAAAAAGAGGATTAAAGAATCTTTTAACACACTGTCGTTCCTTTGCCTCGACATTGTGTCAATCCCTATTGTTGCATCCTTGAGACTTATAAATGAGCGAAAAACGGGAAAACTCATAATTGCGAGCTTGAAGCTGCCTCTACTGCAATATTTTGGTCTCCCACTTTGTAAAATGTTATCTAATAGTCTCCAGAACAGTTATGGGGCTGTCAAAACATTTATTTTAGCAATTTTAACAGCTACAACCGAAAACGATAGCTTAAATTACTTTATTTTTATTCATAACATGTAACGCTTGTGAATATGAGCTTTGTGTGTAACCAAATACGGTCAACTTGGTAGAGGGCTTGGCCGGTTTGGTTAATGCAGGTTGGCTGGTTGGGAAATTCAGGTTGAACCAGTTGGGGTAATATAATTTGTTCTGCACTGAAAACCGTGGCCCGAATTATTACCGGGTCTAGGTCAAAGTCACCAAGTTAACGGTTCTTGGACAAAGGGAGATGGTTTATTCCAGTTATCTGCAGAATCTTTACCATGTAAACAGAGAAATAAGACCACGTGTGATTTATTTCATCGGGGATGTTTGAAAGAATAGAGTACATGTATATAGAAGAACGTTACTTAGGCATCGCTATTTTACGAGAAGATCCCCGATCTAAAGCATTTTAACTGTGATGATGACGTCGTTCTTCTGCTTTGAGGATATGCAATCGGAGGAAAGTGGAACCCCGCCTTACGGTCACCTCGTTAAGGTAGAATGATCCCCTAAAATAGACCAAAAAGTTTGTTTAAATATGGTGAAGAAATATCAGTAGTGTGCGATTGCACTCATAAAGAGAAAATAAATTTTGAAGGTTTTTTACTGTCCAACCTGTGTAATCTTTATAGATCTTTATAACTGTGCCCCGTTTATACGACCTCTCAAACCAGTTATGTTTATCTTTCCACTGTTACTGTATGTAGTGATTGAAGTAATTATAGCTACATTCCGATACTTATTAAAGAAAAGTTGTTAGAAGTGAATTTGTGATATATCTGTTAAGACATCACACAATTTGGACCAGCAAAGTAATTTGACACTGCCCCGTTAATTCGGCCACCCGTCATTACGGTCACCAACGGGGCCATGACAATTTGGCCGTATTTTAAACGGGGTTCTACTGTGTGTAACTTGGGAGCCCATTTTGACTTCACTAATGTTGGCTGGAGGGTGAACAGTTAAACACACTTAGAGACAGTAAAATTCACACTGTCAACCAATTCATCTTCCGACAGACACACAACTAATTCTATTAACTTACGCAATATAGTCTACATATTTAAAATATCTTAAGTTTTGTTACATTTTTTCGGTCATTATTGAGTTAACACTGAATCTCATATAACCTTAAATCAAGTCTCAAAAATAGGCAGGTTTTCACTGTAGGTCCCATCCACACTAAGCCAGAGGAATTAAAAACGCACCAATCACCAGTCATTTTGCATTTGTATTTGAATAAAACTCGGTCAGTGAAATCACATGATTTTCGTGACGCCATCGGTTTCGAAAAGCTTCATTTTCAAAATGTTTCCTGTGCACACAAAAACGCAAAGCCGGCGTTTGCAAATTCCTCCGGTTTTAAGAGTGTTTTCGAAAAGCTCCATTTTCGTTGCGGATTAGTGTGGACGCAATGCCTAACCGGAGAAATAAAGCTCCGTTTTCAAATTCCTCTGGCGTAACATGGTTTGGACGGGGCCTGAGTGTCGAACGGTAACTGTACGCATTGGTTTTGGTTGCATTACTATGCAAAGTGATTGGCTTAAATAACTCGCACCAGTTTGTCATCCAGTCAAAAGGAAAACCAAAACCAATCATAGCTCGGTTAGGCTTCAAGTTTTTTTTTTTTTTTTTTTTATTTGCAATAACACAAGGGAAAACAATACTTACTTACAACACTAGCTCTAGTTACATTATATTGCTCTAATTATTTACACTATTTAAATTACAATATCTAAACGACTTACCCTACTAACAAATACAGTTACGCGACTTACACTTCTAACAAATACAGTGACGACAAGGGGCAAAGAAAAATTGAAGAAAAATAGATAGTTCAGTTATCATTACAGCTTGAGGTTGTACCATAGCAACATAAAAAACAGACCAAAGGCATGTGGTACGTTAAAGGTAAAATGAGTTATGCATCTGACAGGAGATTAGAAATAGACTAATGGGTAGGAGATAGATACCGATAGGTATAGAAAATATAATCTAAAATAA